ATGCTTAGGTGTCTGCATACCTGTGTACCATAACGCTGGGTGTTGCCCCTTTTGGAGGTGCAGCTGTGGAAGGCCAGTCCCTTTACGTTAACGCCCGCTGCTGTACAAATGCTGTATGTGTTTGCTGCTTAGAGCAAATTAAGACGTCCCCTTGACTTTGCAGGATGTTGCAGACTACAAGTCTAAAGGAAAGTTTGATGGCGCAAAGGGAGCAGCAACCAAAGCTGCTCGGAAAAAGGTAGAGGAAGAAGACGAAGAGGAGGAGGAGGATGAAGAAGAGGAGGATGAAGATGATGATGATGAATAAAACTGTACAATACTTGTCTCCATGTGAATACCATAGAGTAGGGGAAACACCGTAAATGAAGCACCTCTTATTTGAGATGGTGTCTCTTGCCCTCATTAGGCTTAATTAAAAAAAAAAAACAAAAAAAATTTGGATTCCGATCGCGTTGTAGTTTCTAAAAGTGCTCTAGAAAATTGTAACTGGTTTACATGAAGTGGCCATGGGTGTAGCGAGCACCCTGAAACTGTATCAAAGTTGTACATATTTCCAAACATTTTTAAAATGAAAAGGCGCTCTAGTGTTCTCCTAACTCTGTGCACTTTGCTGTTGGTGTAACAAAGCATTTAAAAATGTTTCAAGCATTTTTTAATTTGTAAGGTGGTGTTACTATATGGTTATTGGCTAGAAAATCCTGGGTTATAAACTGTACATATCTATAGTTTGTAAAAACTAGACAGATTCTTGTGGTACATGCTTAGAGTTATGATGCCTTAGAGGAGCAGTGATTACTTGGAAAGGTTGTACGTTCCCCAGGGTGCCATGGCCCAAAGCATGCACTGTGAGGGTAGATCTATTTACACTACAGTGGGCGTCCATTTAGCTTAAAGTTGTCTTTCTGTATATAGTGAAATAGCATTCTGCTGCCATTCTTAGTTGTGGAAAGGGGGTTCAGCTGGCATGAGAAGTGTATGGATTTTTTTAGTTAAGTGCGGTAGTTTTTAAACTGAAACTGTAGACATCTCTTCATCGTCAACTAAGTGAAGAGCCAGTGCAGCAACTGAAGTTCAAAAACACTCTGTACTTAAACGAATTTGCAACGTTCTGTTTTTTTTGTATGTTTAGAATGCTGAAATGTTTTTGAAGCAAAATAAACAGTATTACATTTTTAAAACTGTTCTTGACAACACTCTAAATTTCTGGTTTTAAAGGATCTTGATGACAGCAAGAGGTTCATTTTGAAGTCTGTGGCATCCCTCAGGGCTGGTGACTTAGGAAACATTCTGACTCAAGGATTTAAATAAAATAAAATAAATGGTGGCCAGCCAAAACTGGCTGAATTGAAAGAGATGGCTGCTCCAGCTAATATGCAATCGTAACTGTTTATGGCTGAGTGGCATAAGATGCTATGCAAGTTTGAACTTTATTACTTGAACTTGGGAGCCTAAATGAACATTCATGACTTAATTGTTTGTTTGTGTGTGTATATAGCAGCATTCAGAGATGCAGAGAAAGGTAGGTGGCTAGGAATGAGGCTGACACCATGAAATAAGTATAAAAGCATAGTTTGGATTTTTTTTTCCAGTTGTGTTGGGTAAATTTATAGCCCAAATGCATTGCTGTACATATTAAAATGTGCCTTTTTTGTCCTGTGTTAAACTGTTTCAGACTTGTGTTTTTTTCTAGCATCTTGATTCTTGGCAGGAGCCAGGTGCCTAGTCTAATTCCCTGCTGAAGCAGGAGCATGGCACAGGTACTTGGTCTGTGTCCTTTCTCTAACCATGCAAGTTTTAATAGGAACTGGGTCCTATGAGGTGGGTTGGGGGAGTGATGCAGGTCTCTTCTCTCAGGTGGCCAGCTGGTTGTATCATTGCCATCTTTCAAATCCAAGCTGGGGATGTTTTGCAGCCATTGGAAGGGAAGGGTGGTACCTGGTCTTCAGGTGGTGACTAACCTCATTTTCCCTTAGCATGGAAACTGCACGAACTGGGAAAACTACAGCACCCACTCACTACCCTCGTGCTGGCTGTAGTTAGCAGTTGGTGTTTGCTTGGCAGCAAGAAGGAGATGGGATGTGAGGATGCTTGCATTAATAGCAAGTCAGAGTTGTGGACTGCCATGTGCAGCTGACTTAAGAAGACAGGGTAACTCATTAGTGTAAACTGTGAGTATGGGCTGCTGCCACTGCTTCATTTGAGCCTAACTGCAGATTAATGAGGGCCAGGTTCACAGGCAGTGACTACTTCTAATGTGGTTAAAACAGCTCTGTTGCCTAATTGGGTAGCACATCTGGCTTACCTGTGACTTCTCCACAACTGTAGTATTTTGGCAAAAGAGTTGAGATGGACTAGAACCTGAAAGCAAGACCAGGCAAAACTTAGTATTGGATGAAGTGAGCTAATAAACTTTATGAAACATAGCAACATGTAGCATCTCTTTTAAGGTTAAGTTGCAGTTGGATCATTTAGAAATACTGCTATAATTGCTTAATTATGGCACTTACTGTGTTTAATGCACAAAAAAAACCAAGTGTGAAATTAGCCCCCATTTTATGGGAAGTTACATTTTAAAAGCCTCAAATTAGTGTCTGGAAAACAGAAATCGCTACCTTTGTATTTGCTATCCTTTCTGCATGTCTTCAGCTATGTGGGAAATGACACCTGGAGATTCCAGCACATGGAAAATTGGTGGGGAAGTGATGGAGCAAAGAAAAGTGATGGCATTGTTTCAGGAGCTCTAATACTGTTTCTTTTGTCTAGTTGGCAAAATCTCCCCTTAGCTACATATGAGAATTAGTGTAGATCACTGCTGTGCAAATCGGGCTTGGCTTTGAATTAACTGCCAGTGAGCTGAGCCCCTATTGATAGTATTAGCAAATAAGAACTAGAGCTGACACCTCTTTGTCTTCATTATATTGGAAATCTATTGACTTGTAGGGCTTGATTAAGGTCTTGGACCTTGTGGTGCACTACGTGTTCCTGCTCTGCAGATGCCTAAAATACAGCATGCTGTGGAGATGCTGTTCAATACAATGATAGTGCAGGACCCTGGAGACTCAAATTTGGCTATTGCAGATGTAGTGATGATGTTTCTGCCCCCAGTACTCTGCTGTTGGTAAATACCGTAATGTGAATGTGTATAAATAACACATGATTCCCCCCCCTGTTTTTTGTGTTCTGAGATGTCATCTCAAATATTGGGAACTGCTTAATTTGACCCAGCTCTGGTTTTGATAGAGCAACCTCCAAATGCTCTCTGCTTTGAAATGCCTGTGGTGTTTTAAAGCAAACAACTGCTTTGGGCTGCTGTACAGCTCAAACTTCTAGTTTGACTTTAGTCGTGAGCCAAGCAGAGTATGTCTTATTAACTCTGCTGTATGTAGAGAAGGGTAATGATGGAACAGTTCTGGGGAAAGGGAGGGGAAGGGATGAAGAGAGACTTCCTCATATGAACTTGGAAGAGCTGGCTGTGAGACTGCTTGGATTCCCAAAGTACAAAATGTGATTTGTTGCATCCCCCCCGTCCTGCTGAAGTCAGGCTGAGGTGGGCTGCGAGGATGAGGGGCTTGGTTAGGAAAAAGGGATGTTGAGGCACAGGGGATGACTTGACTGGGTGTGCTGGTCCCTCTAGATGCCTAAAGCAGTGTCAGAGGTGTGAGAGCTTTTGCTCAAGGGAAAGCATCTGCTGGTGCTGATGTGGGGCAGAGGTGGGCAGAGGCAGGCAGAGTCCTGCCTGAAAGCACTGACCCACATGGTGAAGCTGATTTCCTGTGGTTGGTACCACTTGCTTAACACAGTTCTTACCAAAATGCACCACATCCCTCTGAAATCAAACCAGCTGGGGGGCAATGTGATTAATGGGGCTGTCAAGCTGCTCTGTGCAGGCTAGAGCCTGCTTCTGCCGAAAACAAGCCCAGCAATCTATTGGCATGACCTGGAGAGGCAGAGGAGTGATGTTTTCCTGCTGCTCTGTAACCTTTACATTCCTAAATTCAGTGCTTCCTAAATTCATACTTGGTGTGAGCCCTTACACTAGAGGAGGGGCTGTAGTGGAGGGACTGCATTGGGGATGCCCTACCATGGGTGTAGGGTTAGCTCCCTGCAAGTAGACACAAGGCAAACCACACTGTAGAATGATTTCTTACCGCTTGTGTCTGTACCCTAATGCATCTGTGGGGAAGCAGGGCATTAATTGTTCCTGTAATAAAATTAATTAAAAATCCTAGTCCAAATGCGTGTTGAATCAATTAGCAGCAAATGGCTGCAGCTCTAACAGAGGTCCACGGGAAGGTGAGAGCCTGCTTTGGGGATCATACTGGGGGACACAAAGCATCTCTCTTGCCTGGTCTCTTTGAACAGCTGATTCTTACATAGTTTTATTCACTCCCACTAAACCCTGCAGGAACAGCAGAGAGGTGTGGGGGCTTGTGTTGGCTCTGGCTCAGGTGGTGGCAGGTGAATGGCTTTTTGCTTCCAGCCTCCAGCACAATTCTGGCAGCCGCCACGCGTTTGTTTTCCCTCTGCTCACTCAGGCTGTTGTTCCATGGGCAGGGAAACATCTCCCGAGTAAGCCCTCTTCTGCTGTTTTGGGAATTTGGGCTGGGACCAGAAGTGGCTGGAATGGGATGTCCCTGCTGGGGGTGAGAGCAGGATGCTGCACTTATGGCAATATTTCTGTTTGCTTTCTGGCAAGCCCCACGCTTCCCTCTCTGAATGTTAGCCTGAGCTTGCTTTCCTCTAAAAGATAGCTGGAAGAACTGTGACAAGTGACACACTGCTTTCCGCTAGGGCTGTACCACATTTAAATGCAATGAACTGAATTGCAAATTGCAGCTGTGCTGCAAAACAAAGTGTGCTGGAGACCCTCTTGCCAAACAAGAGGGCTGCTCTCTGAACGTGTTTCAGCTTGGAGTGGAAAAGGGATGGGGTAATGAGCATGCCTGAGGGGGTTCATGCCCTATGAGATGTCTTCAACCCTTTTCAGCAGGCTGGGCTCTGTTGGGAGTGTAGTGTGCGCCCGCCGCTGCTTGGGCAACGTTCGGCAGCCTGTGTTCAAAGTGCTCTGCAAACATCTCATCCTTCTGATAAGTACATGCTAGAGCAGGAGGTGGATGAGGGGTGGTTTATGGCTTGTGCTGACGATCTTGATTGGAGTTGCTTGCTGCTAACAGCTCCTGCCTGGGCACCTCCCTGCACCTGGATCCCTAAATTAGGCAGGAGCAAGCAGTCACAGCCCTGTTAGAGCTGGCAGTTATGTCTCTTGGGTGGTGAGTATCTTGTCTTGTACCTGGATGCGGCATGGCCTCACAGGAATGCCTCTGAAGTGGCTAAACTGAGATTAGTCTTCCTGTTAAGCTGGAGCAGAAATGACAAATGACCTCTCTAGGGCTGGGGAGCCTAGGTTGTTGTGTGGAGCAGCAAACTGGTGCTGTGGTGGGGTAAGACCATTGGAAGCTGGAATGTATAAAAGGACATCTTTATCTTGTTGATGTTGGGAGATGAAAATGTGTTAACTTGTGGTAAAGGGATGCCCGCCCTGTGGCTGTGTCCTCTGGTATGGTTGACTTCATGTCCCTGGCTGAGTCCAGCAGCCAGGAAAATCACAGCTGGGAACCAAATTGTGGGACTGGGTGTTTTGGTTGTGTTTGTGGTTGACTGTTGAGCCTCTGAACTTCAGGTACTGCTGATTTGTGCTGTACCTGCCACCTCGGCCTGCTTCTCTCTGGGTGTTCACCTCCAAGACACCCAGGGAGGACCCCCTCTTGCATGTTGCTGTAGCCAAGCCTGTATAAGGAGAGAGGCAGGTAGGATGCTGTGAATGGTAGCTGCTTTTTCTTCACACCCTGTCCCCTTGGAAAGCTCCTGCAGGTATTTCAAATCAGAAAAATGCTCTGTTTAAAAAAAACAGTAATCAAACATAGCCTGCCTTTGTTGTTGTGAGAGCTTATTGCTTGTAAGTGTTTTTAACTGCTTCTTTGCGAAGCTTAAAATTTGCTTCATGATAGTTTGGAAAATTAATACCTGTAGAAGGGTGAAGTGGTTTGAGGGACTGCTGGAGACAAATGCCTCTTGCCTGCTGCTAATTACTGTGTGATTGCTCTTTTACTCTGCGTTACCTGGGATGTACCAGCAATAATTCATGGTCTTGCAAAAGAGAGGTGGAAACAGAGGCAATTGGTCTACAGTTTTCTTGAAACATGTATGTTGGTCAAGTTTTGTTCTCTTTTGCTTTAGACATCAGGCTGGGGATCTGTTCTGAACTTGGCTTCTGCAGTTGTTTGAGTTGTTTGCTCCCTGTAGCTCCTGGTGAAGCTCGCTCCCCACTAGCAGGGGGAACAGCAGTGGGTCTACTGTTGCTTTATTTTGTTGCTTCATATAGTAACTTGTCTATTGCAAGCTGCTGAGAGGTCTTTCAAACCGAGCTCAAGGATCAAGGCATCAGTAAAAGTCTTGGAGAACCCTTTCTTCCCAGGGTGTGTCTGGAAGTGGAATAAATACCTGACTGAGTGGTGTTAAGTTGCCTAATAAAAGATCTCTTGCTCCACACTTTAGCTCCTCTTTCCTTTGCCAGTGATTCCCCACCAGACATTGTTGTCTAGCAAACAAATCGGCTAGATCAGACCTGGTATTTTCAACCTTGAGGGCAACTTGCAAAAGGCCTTGGATGGTTTTGAATGTAGGAGGACTTGGCCTTGGTTTTCTGCTTTTTCCTGTGGGTCTCTGCAGTATGCTGCTCTCCGCTCTTAGCGCTTTGCTAGGGAGAAAGTGGTGGCTCCCTTAAAAGCTCAGCCTTTCTACTTTTCCATTATTGTGTGATTACTTATATGTGGGGAGCACCAAAAAACACTCATGCAGACTCAGGGAATATCTTCCTTGGTGCTCCTCATTTACTAGAAGGTGACATCTTAAAAAGCCAATTCCAGCAGCAGTTCAAGCTGATCTTTCCAAGTGCAAAGTAGAAAGAAGCCCCTAAACCCCTCTTCTCCGTGTTCCTCCTCAAACCCTCCAGATAAATGTCCCCACAGTGCTTGTTTCACACATCTCTTAGCTTTTAAAGATGCTGTTCTTCGCCTGTTCTCCCATTCCCTGCCCCAGCTCTCCCTCTACCCAGCAAAGCAGCCACAGTCAGTAGGTGGGATCCAATGGGTTATTTGAGGTCATGTAACTTACTCCCAAGTTTTGGGAAGAGACTGGCCTGTGTTTTGCTGGTAGTCAGGTGCTTCAGGGAAGATTTCAGCTCATGGCAGCATTGGGGCAAGGGTGGAGGCTGCAGTGTGCTGGGCTGGCTGATGCACGTGGACCCGAGCAGTGGTGATGGAGGTGGGAAATGGGAGTGGGAAGCAGTTGAGGGTTGTAGGTCTCTGGGTCTTGAGCAGACAGCATCCAGCCCACAGGGTCTCCCTCTGTGTCAGGGACCATATAGTGCTCTATTTCACAGCCGGCCCTGTGAGAGAAGGTTTGGTAGCAGAAAGGGAATGGTGGTCTTAAAAATGTTTGCTGTTGTTTGTGCTCAGGTCTTTAATGGAGATAGTTATGGCCAATGGAATATGTTGGGCTGTGATTGTGATGAGTGTCTGTAGTGTACTTGTTGGGCTGGGATTACCTTCTCGTGCCAGGGAACAGGAACAGGCTGCTGTGGGGTGAGCTAAGGGTTTATTAACGCATGTATGGGAAGTATGTATGTGGCTTCATTTATACTCTCATCCTGCTAAACAGGAGCTTCCTGCCCTTCAGAGGTGCTCTGGTAGGGTCTCTTCCCCATTTACCCAATTCCAGGCGATGCTCAGGTGCCGGCTCTTGCAGGAGGTGCCGGGGCTGTGCCGGAGCCTGTTAAGGATCTGCCAGCCCCTCCTTAAAGCAGAGCTGCAAATCCCCATGAGCAGGATTGCCTCTGGCAGCCCTGAGGGGACGGTCCCATGGGGACAGCCCACCCCGACAAGGGCTCAGGGTGCTTGTGGTGGGAGAGGGGATCCCGCAGGAGGAGCCGCTGGTTTGCTGGAAGCAGCCTCCTAAATATGGACGTGATTGTTTATTTATTTGCTTGCTCTGGAATCTTTGCGTTTTTCCCTTAATCCTGGAAGAAAACCAGGCAGTGCCCTGTCTGCATGTGACATGGCTGCGCACAAACTCCCTTTGTGACTTTTCTTTCACGGGGAAGAAACGCATTCAGGAAAAAGCAGGGCCCTGACAACAGGAATCAAGTGTTTCTAAATATGGACATCCCTTTTTGGACTAAAAAGTCTTTTTTGTACCATGCATATTTCCCCTGTTAATCATTTCCTTTTGTTCCTCGCAAACTTTGGTCCTCCAATGTTACAGAAGGAATGATAGCAGCTCTGTTTGTAAACTTCCCTTTATGATACATGAACTCCCTTGTATGTTAGATGAATTTGCTGGGTTTTCTTTTTAATGCAGTTGGAAAGGCCAGCACTCCAGTTACTCACCCTTGGCTTTTCCTTCTTTTAAGAAACAGTTATATTTGGCCTCAGCCTTTCTCAAATATGGGGTATTTTACAGGCCATTGAGCTTTGCATGGTCCTGTTTGCTGCTTTTGTGTTACACTAATTGGCTTGATAAAGAAGGGCCTGGGCTCTGTAAAGTGCTTCTCCTCCAAGGTGAAATGTGAGATGGGGGGGGAATATTCAGATGTTCACAAGTATTTATGCTTGCTGCATAATCTGAATGCATCAGAAATGAGCTAGAGCTCAGACAAAGCAGGGGATTAGGAGTCTGAGATGGGCAAGCAGGGTGGACATCTGGAAACCTGCTGTTTAGTTTGTCTGCTGGGGTGGGTTGCGTCTTCATTATGTGGGTTACGCACGCAGGGGATGAGCAGCACGCTGGGATCACGGTTGCTCTCTATGGGTATGTTCTGCAATAACAGTTTCTGTTGTTATTTACGGAGCACCCCACCCTCCCCAGCAGAGCTCTGCCTGTTCAGCACAAACCCAGTCACCAGCACAAGCAGGGCAGGAGAAGCTCTGAAGCTGGAGGGCAGGCTCGGGCTGGCAGCACTGTTTGCCTGCGCTACCTCTGCCTGATGCTTTGAGGGCTTGGGGAGAAACGCTGCCTGTGGCTGGTGTTACACGGACAGTGGATGCTTGCGCCCTTCCTTGCAGTGTCTCCCTGCGTTTTTGGGCAGGCGCAGCTCTGCAGAGTCCAACAGAACACAAAATGCATGGGAGAGGAAGAGAGAAACCGAACTCGGGGCTTCTGAACCGTTCCCATGCGTGGAGCCTGGTTCTCCCAAAATTGAGCCCATTGTTACTGCACAGGGCTGCTTCTGCCATCGCTAGTATCTCCTCGGGATTGGGTTTACCTGGCCAGTCCCATTGCCTGACCCCTGTGGGCACAGGCACCTGGCTCAGGGTACAGAGCTCTGGGTGGAGTGGGGACAGATGTGTGGGGTTTTTAATTTGATGATGAAATAAGACTTGAGAAATGCTTTTGCCTTCTCAAAAACACATTATTGGAGAAGGAATTCTAAATATGTTGTGAACAGAAATAGCCAAATACTGCTTTGTTTTGGTTTTGTTTTTCCCCCAAAAGTCACTTTGTTACTAGCTTCTTGGTGTGTGCTCCATTTCTTCTGCTCTGTCTCCAGTGTTTTGTTCTCCTTGTATTTCCATCGCCTTCCTGGGTAATCTGTCTTGGCAGCTTCAATTCTGGCCGCAGCTGTAATGTACCAAAACATGGCTGTACACAGCTGGAGCCTTGCTGCACTCCCACCAAATACCCACTGCTGCCTGCCCACAGGTGGGAAACATCACGCTGAGGAAGCTGGCACCAAGAGGTTTGGGATACGTGCCTTGTTTGGGGGAACAGTGGAATTCACACCCTGCCTGGACTATGGCAAAGCCAAAGCACAGCAGTTTAGGAGAGGGTAAAGAGGAGACCTTCAGGCACAACTTCATCACCCCGAAGCAGGTATAAGAGCTTGGTAGTGCTTTGGATCATGCTTGGGATGATAAAAGTAAAGGGATTTTTAATTTAAAAAGGTAACCAGAATTGTGGAAGAGAAGCAGGGACCTGTGCAGGACATGAATAGGAGTGGTCACAGGACATGTGCCCGTTGCTGCTGGACATAAGAAATTAAAAGGAGTGAGCCCACTGCAGCTGTGTGGCAGCACCTGCTGAAAGCACTGACTCAGTGAAACCTGTAGTGTCAAAGACTCCCGTGGGGTCACCCGTGGGCCCCCGGATGCCAAACCTCTGGAAGCAGGATACAAAATCCTTCTTTCCCTCCCATTCTGGAAGGGAGGGCTGTGTTTCTCCTGAAAAAAACAGGTCAGAAAAGCATTTGTGTGCTCTGGAGCCTTGCATGGTTTTACACAGGCTGTGTGCAGTTAAGCATTACAGCCCCAGTTCTTGCTCCAATTTAATGTGGTTTTCCAGAAGCACTGTTAGTGCAGTGCATTAGAACTGCCCTGTGGTGGGGGGAGAGCCCAGGGGGCTGACATGAGGCCCTGGGACACTCCATGGCAGGGACAGGGCACGCTGCAGCTCTTTGCTACCCTTCTGGGCTGCCAAAGCCTCTGCTGCATAGTAGAAGGGTCCAGGTTTGAGGGAGGCAGCCCTGAGCATGGGGTCGGTCCTGACAGCTTCAGCAGAGGATGCTCCTGGAAACAGGAGCCACTGGGAGTTTGCATTCCCTTTGGTCTCAGCCCTGAAGAAGCCTTAAAGCCTCAGTCAATAATAAGCTTATAAGACAGTAAATCTTGGTAATGAGAAAAACAGAAGATGGCATCTGCTCAAGACAATGGTAGTGTGTATGGTCTGGTAAATAGCTATTGAAATGAGTTGCCTGTTATTACATGGGTTATAGCTGAAAGGCCCAATTTCCCTGCAGGATTGGCAGGTTTTGCTATCCCCAGGCTTTTCCTACTGGAATCCTGTTGAGGCTGAGGACAGGGAGAGGTGACCTATTGCCAACGAGCACCAGGTGCTTGCCCACAGCATGGCAGCCCCCACCATGAAACCAGAGGCAAGCTGCCATCCTCCTGCATGTGTGGAGCCCAAGACAGGACCACCACGGCAGTTGTTTTCACCTTCTCCTGTCTGTATCCCCTCCAATGTCCCCTTGCAATGGCTGCACGTGGAGATGTGTATATTTTAGAGGGTCCTCTGCAGCAGGTGGGAGTGGAGTAAAAATGAAGAAGAGTTTCTTCCCTATCATACAATCCAGTCTTCACAGATGCTGACATGAGCTGAGCTGATGGGCAACAGAAGCCTGGGGATAAATGAGTCGTGCAAGGGGCATCAGGAAGAAGAAAGTGCTGGGTCTTCGTCTGACATCCATTCTGACAAACCTGGTGCCCATGGGGTGGGAGCTGGCAGTGGTCCTGGTCCTGCTCAAACTGTGTGAAGCTAGGTCTGCAAAATGGGGAGGAGGGGGAGGGAAGAGTTCAGAGGAAGGAATCTGCATATGGTATGTAATGCTTTTATGAATTGGGTCTTTAATAATTTACATTACCAGTTTAATACTTGGAATACAAATTATCTTGCCCATATGCTGTGCTGACAAACATAAAAATGGAGTAATCAAAGCTGTAATAGCACTACAGCAAAAAGACATAAAATGCCACTACAAGGCTTAGGATAACTTATTGCATGCACACACTAGCTCTATGGCTCCCTGGTGCCAAAGGATGCATTGCAATTTCTTCCTCAGACTTTGCATTTGGGCTTGAAGACTGGTGCAGTACCAGGAGTACTGTTCGGAATTCTCTGAGACAGGCAGCATTTAACAAAGAGGAGGAAACAAAAAAGGCTCAGGCCTGCTCAGACCCTAAACACTGCAATTTAAATTTTGCTCTGGCATTACATGGGCTGTGAAGAAAATATATCCCTCTTATGTGTAGGGAGCCCCCTTCTTCCTCCAGTGGGGTTATTTGCATGTATTATAAACTGCAGTGTTGGCTTGCCATCTTCAGGCAGCTGCCACACACTGCACAGCATCCCTGTCCATCCCTGTGCTGGTTGGAGGTGGCAGGTCCAGCTTGGGTGCCACAAGGGATGCCCAAAGGAGGATGTTTGCTGCAGCCTGGCACCAGATGACCAATGCAATGGGCAGCATCACTCCAGGGAAAACACGGGTTTCCCCTCATCCCTCTTCATACCTGTGCTTGCTCCCCTCTAATGCCTGAGCTCTGAGGGGCTGGAGGAGGTGGGAGAGGATGAAAAAGCCCCAGGCCCTTGGCACTTCCTCCTGCCCACCCTTGGGGTGAAGTTTAGGTACGAAGGAGCAGTATGGGTAGGACGTGGGAGCTTGTGGGTGCTGCAGGGGACTTAGTGGTTTGCTTTCAGCGCTGGCGCCTTTTGGGAGGGGTGGGAGGGGTGTGTGTGGATAGACCAGACAACCCAAAGCGCATGGGGCTGTGCAGCAGAATGAGCAGGTTTGCAGAGCAGAGATCCAAGTTATGCTCATGGGGAAAACGCTGCTGCTTGTAGATGTCAGTAGACCTTGTACCGTAGCTTGTGGCAAAGTCTCTGCTTTTAAATACCAGTCTATTCATTGGTTCCATATCTCAAAGGCATCCCTGCTACAGGCAATCTTTCACAGAGAGAGCCATTTAAGGCTCACATTTGCATACACTGAATTTCTCAGCTATCAAGGTTACTCCATGCTGTAATCCATTCTGTGCTTCTAATGCGATCAGTGAAAAATGAGGCTTCTTCCCAAATAAATTATCAGCAACGGAGGGAATGGCGCTTTTCTAGAAGGTGTGAGGCTCTCATCATAGCAACACGTTTCCCAAAAGGCAGAGGAATCTGGGCAGGCATGTCCTGCACTGCTGTGCTGCCTGAATTGCTGTCAGTCACTCCGAGACCCAAACCCCGTGCATACAGATGAGGTATTCCTGCCTTGGCTGATCCCAGTGTCTGTTGCTGCTGTGTCCCCAGGATTTGGTGCCAGCAGCTCCATCCTTTGGCCCTGGGAAAAGCCACATGGCAGAGCAACACTGTTATTGCAGTTGGGCATGCCATGACTCCAAAACCCTGGGTGCAAAGAGGTAGCTGGGGTCTTTCCCAGCAGGGGCAATGGGGCTGCCTGGTTGGGTGAAGGGACCTGCATAGGGAGGCATGCGCGCATCAGCCCCCAGTAGAAGAACTTTTCTCATTGTTGAATCTACTGGAGAATAAAGCCCTCGCTGATCTTTTTGCCCTGCAAATAAATTGGATGGATCAAGACCACTATGAGAAATGTCCCATCCTCATCCAGAGAGGGTTTTTCAGCATTAAAAGCTTTATATGACTCATAAACTAACATTTATTTCTGCATGTGAGGTAAATATTTCTCCCTTTGAATGTCTAAGCAATGCAATTTTGTTTGAAGCCTCCATTTGTTTAAGTTTGGAGGTGACAATAATTCACCTGTTTTCCCTTCCTGTGTTTCACCAAGCAATGGTGTAAGCTGAAACAGAGTGAATTCAGCTCTGGCTGTTTGTCACTTGTCAACTTCCTCCCTCAAATACACTCGAATAAGCTTTGTCCTGCAGTTTACATTTGGGGACCTTCTGATCTCCAGCCGTTGGTAGATGGCCCTATGTTTTTCTTTTTAGAGGAAGAAATACAACACACTTCTATGCAGCACTGCCAGGGCAGGCAGGAAAGAGAGACATAATTTAACTCCAGATAAATCATGATTTCACAGTGATCTGCCTGCAGTTGAGAGTCCCATCTCCTTGACACTGTAACAATACTTGTCACTCAGCGTCCCAAAGAGACCTGCTTGCAGCCAGAGATCATAGATGACTGGGAAGATGCCTGGAGTTGTAAACACCATCAATCTGGAGAAAACAAATGCGCCTGGGAGTTGATGTCAGCTGAGGTTGTTCGAAGATGGAGATTGCCTCTGCAAAGCATGGGATGTGCCCATAGGCTGTGTGGGTCCCTAGCCTTGGACATCCGCTGGGTCTGTTGCCACCTGAAGCTCCAGCAAACCCAGGGAGGCAAAGCGCTGCTACTCCTATTCCCCAAGGGGGCTTGGGTCCTCAGGTTTTGCAGGCTGGTAACCCCCGCCATGCAGCCCACAGCACCTCTCAGGGTAGTGGACCCAGGCAGGATAGAGAGCAGAGGCCTTTGCTTTCTACCACTTTTGGTACCTCTGTGCCTTTCCTGGCTTTGGCAGACTCGTGTCTGATTTACAGCTTGTGTCCCCTGCTCGCCTGCTCCCAGCTAGGACTCTTCTGCTCTTCTCCCTGGCAGCTCCCAACACTCTTCCCTGGGTCCCTGCCCATCCTTGAGGATGTGTCCGCACCCAAGCTTAAACTCGGTGCTATCATGCACAGGCAGTTTCTTTTTCTGTCTGCCTCTTTCTTTCTTTTTCTTTTTCTTTTTCTCTTTCTTGTTTTCTTTTTTTAAAGAGGAAACTGAATCCAAGGCTACCGTGTGATGATGATGATGTTATTGTTAGTTGTTATTTCTATTTTCATAGCTCCAAGAGGCAGAGAACAGAGTCCCACTGGGTTAAATGCAGCACATGCTATAACAAAAAGACAGTCTGGGTGCCAAACAACTTGCAAGCTTCTTGCTAATGTAAGGAATGTAAAATTGAGATTACTATAGCAACATCTTGCTCACATCGCATACAGATAGGATTTGTTGGTCTTTGTGTGTGTGTGTGTGTGTGTATACCTATGAAACATACATATACAAACCCTAAATATCTCTGGCAACTTTTTCCATGGTTGAATTTATATTTAATTTCAAGCTCTCTGTGTCTCAGATTGGTTTTGCTCCTTAAGATTTGCATCCAGTTTTCCTTCATCAAGTCTTGCCTTGTTCTTTGGTCTCTTTTGTGAAGTGCTGTATGTCAGGAGAGAGAGGAGATTGCTCAGCCCTTGCTCCATCTATCATTTTAAATGTATACAAGCCTGTTGAACCTAATAACTGCCGTAACATCTCTAAACTTGCTTTCTTCAGTTACATTTTAGGAGATGGAGGCTAACCTGAGACGTGCAAATCCTTCTCTTCCCATCTCTCTTCTCTCAACTTACTAGTTCAGCTTTAAATGGAATTTCACATGATTTATGAACCACAGCTCTCACTTCTCCATGGCTGAATAAAACCTGGGCCCAGAGATGCCTGTGGGAAGGGCAGAGCCCACCCAGTAGCAGTGAACTGGAAGCCAGCAGCACAGATAACACCCGCGGTTCGGTGTTGCTTAAGTTCTCCAGGAAAGTGGCAGAAATTCAAGCACAGCTTTCACCTCGTCACAGAGGTAAGTGGAGTCACTGATAGAGCAGAGTTTTAACATCACCAGATCTGAGGAACTGTCTTTGCTTACCAGCCTGCAATCTGGTAGGAGGGGAAAACCGGGCACCAAACTCTGCTAGAGAGAAATGGAGGGTGTTGCTCTCTGCCAAAGACAGACACATTGGAGGGATACCCATTTCTCTTGAGAAGCGTGAGGAACTTGTGGCTCATTTGTAACAGCTTTGAGGCTGTGGAGTTGAGCATGCACAGTTGGAGGGCTGGTGGATTTGCTGTTTTGAGACTAGACTGTAATGGGGATCTGAGAACCAAAACTGAAAACGTCTGCTGGCAGGTCTGGATGGAGGATCTGGAAAGCAGCCTAAAGTTGCCAGCTGCAGATTTCTAGTGCCTCTGCCTTAGCAGCATTAAATACAAGGAAATAAATCATAGGCAGCTCTGCCTGTGGGGTCCAGAATTAGAGCAAGGGGGAGCCAGGGAAGCAAACCCCACTTCCCAGTGGATCTGTGGGGAAGGCAGAAGTGGAAAGGCAAAGAAGGGATGGGCACAGCATGGAGGGGGCAGCTTTCAAAGCCCACTCAGGCAAACACAATGGCTTTTCTTCAGACAGGACTGCTTCCTGAGCAGGAATCAATATCCTTCTGCAGAGCCTGCAGAAATGCTGATGGGTTTAAGAGTGCAGAGCTGGTGCAAAGTAGGTTTCTGTATGGAGTTACTAAAGAGTTGGGCAGGATGGGAGAAAGTCCCAGCTTGGGCTAAACTATAGGCAGAGGAGACATCTCTGTCTCCTGCCCCAAAGGAAGGAGTAAAAGCAGGCTCCGTGGGAGCTGTGAATCAGGCTGGGAGCAGCCAGCAAAGTCCATAGGGCTGAAGAATACATCTCTGAGACTGTTGGTCTCAAAGGATGCTTTCTCATCCTTTTCCCTGGAACGGAAACCTGTATGACAAGGGTCTGTTTACAATGCCCAGCTGAAATTTAACCACCCTGGACTTCCTCAAGTAGGGCAGTTGCCGTGAGCAGCACAAGCACTGATGCCGAGTAAAGAGTTGGTGTGCAATCTCAGCTCAGAGACTTGGTCACTCACATCTTAGAAACCCTGCAGGACTTCGCAGGCATGTTGGAGTGTCCAGTGAAATCAGGGCTTTTGGTGGGAGTATGGCAAGAGGGGCGATTGTTTCCCTTTCCCCAAGGGGCACCAGGTTTCCTGTCTATGGGGTGCGTAGTGCTGATAGGTACCAAAGTGACAGCCTGAGGAAAGGGAAACTTCACTGAGGAAAAAAACTGTGTCTTTGGAGTCAACTTGCTGCAGCTCCTCTGTTAACCCCTGTTGCATTGCCGCTGTGGATGGCTCCCATTCTGCAGGGGCAGGTCACGGTTGTGCTTCCCACTGTGCTCCACAGCACTGCTGTGCAAACCATCACCTCTATGCTTCTTACTTCCCTTGACCTCTGTGTTCCCATCAGCTGCTTTTGAGCAAGCCTGCCACCAAGACTGTAATTGGTTTGCGTGTACTCCTATTTATGCTTTTACCCAGCAATTTGCACAGGGCTGTTGAGCTCTCTGCTCATAATTGACAGGAGAAAGCAATCTGCTTCACAAGAGGAAACATCTCCACCCGCTGCTGGATCCGAGCAGGCTATTTCCAATAATAAGGATGAAGCAAAACAGGATCTCGCTAACAGCTGCAGATGTAGCTGAGTCCTTATTAATGCAGGTGCAGAGGTGCTGCTTGGGACATAATTAAGAGCTGGATACTTGGAGTACAGTTTGTTGCGCTGGCCTTCCTGCACCGCTGGCTCGTGGTGAGTGCCAAATGCTCCTGAAGCTCCCGCAAGCCGGGCTGTAGGAGGAGCTGCTCGGGGAAGCGAAGTCCCCTTTTCTTTAAGACATCTGTTCCTCTCCTTGCAGAGGACAGCCATGGCAATTTCTGCTTTAGAGTTGGAAGGCAGCTGCCAATGGCAATGGCTCACACCATCCACAGCTGGAAAAGCAGCTTGGATGTTGCTGGGTAAGAGCAGCTGTGGGCAATATGCTTGCAGGTGGGTGTGCATCTGGGTGAACCAGTCTTACCTTCTTGTAAATGCCAGCTAGCCCTTTTTACCAGGACTGAAGCGCAGCCAGAGGATAAGGTTTAGGTCCCTTCCTCACATACAGGCAGTGGTAAACTGGGTAATACCCTGCTGCATCCAAAAGATCTGCCTGCCCCCCACAGCTGACCCCTAACTGGGACAGACCCTGGGCTTGGAGAGGGGGGAAAAAAAGAAAGGGGAGGTGAGAGGCTGCGAGAGCTGCCCTGGGAGAACAGAGAATGACCCAGCTAGCATTCATTGGGATGTGTGTGGGAGTCTGTGGGAACGAAGGATTCCTGCGTGTGCCACGTGTCAGGACAATAAGGGACGGACTGGAAAGGGGCAGGTAATAGGAGACCTCTAAGGAGCAAGAGTAGGTTTGTTGTTGTTTTTTACTGGTAGAAAAAGGGGCTGGATGAGGAGTCTCAATGGGAACAGATGAACTGCTGAGGTTGTTCCCCTTTTTTTCCTTTTTTTTTTTTCCTTTCTTTTTCTCCTACTGCCACCCCAGGAGGTCGCAGCATAAGAGGGAAAGCCAAAAGCCTTGCCCACCCTCACTTGTGTACGTGCTCTGTGAGCATGGTGTGAGGAAGATAAGTGGTCCTTTTGCTCAAGTTAAAGGCAGATCTTGAAGACAAATGAGGCCTCTGGCTGGTGGGGCTGGTCAGTCATGGTCCAGCTTTCCTTTCTTTGCTTTGCTTGGTTTTGTCTTTTTCAGAATCATTGCTTTGCTGACAAGCACTGAGCTATCAGCACCTTGAGTAACTTGCCTGTTGTTGAGCAGTGCTTCTAACTCATAGAAGTTAGAAGAAGCATAAGAAGCACTTAAGATTCTTTAGGATTTGTTAGCTGTGAAATATAGCAACTGAATCTTCCTGGGCTAATGCACTAAACAGTTGAGGACTTCCCTAAGGTTTTTCTTCCAGGTCACCACAACAAACCTTGCCAGCCTGGTAATTTCCATGTGCTTCCTTCAGCGTGACGGTCACTTGTGCAGAGTCCTGTGCTACCACTCAGCTGCCATCTCAGCAGACCTAGCAGCCAGGCTGGGAACAGGTCTTCTGCTTTGGCACTTTTTTGGTGGGATTCAATAAGATCATTTAAAAAAACCACACATTTCATTGTAGCACTTTGAGACCTAGAGCAAGACTGCTCCAGCCTGGCACAGTGTAGGATGCTACCTGGTGCAGCTGGTGGTGAGAGCTACCCCAGTGCCCCAGCAGAAGGTGTCTTCCCAGGTTGCAGAGCTGGTTTCCAGCTACTAAAGATGCTGCAGGGAAGAGCCTGAGTTTCTTTACACTTGTAGGAAAGGCTAGAGTTATTTGCTAGCAGAGGCTGTACAAATCCCATGCATTATTCGGCTGCTGCCATACAAATCATCCCAGTGGAAAAAGCCTCTTCAGAAAGCACAATTTGATCACCACAAACTTTGACCTAAATGTGCTGTAGCCGACAGCCCTGTATGGCAGGTTTCAGACTTTTGCCGTCACTTCCTTCTGAGAGGCAAAATGAATCTAGGTCACCCCACTTGCTTGTCTGTAACGAGGCTAATTCTGATTTCATTCATGTTCCATCCTCGAGTTTGAGATGGGGGGAAAAATGGGAGATTTGAAATGGCAAGTCAGCCTCAAAATCATTCTTCTTAATCCCCTCTCCGGGCAGAGGAAGTGGTTTGATGTTGCATCCCAAGGCAACATTGACGGTGTCATTTAATATTCAGGGTAGGAAAGGAATACAAAGTTTTCCTTCTTTCCCTTTTTATTTAGATTGCAGTGTTAAGCAGCTGAGCTGAATGAACAGGCCTGTGTCCACAGCTTTTTGAATGATTAACAAAAAAGCCTATTCGGGGTGAGTGAGATGTGTGCTCTGCGTGAGGCTGCTGCTTCAGGGACAAAGAGGGGAAGTGGCTGAACACGAGGTTATTAGTTTGTCTGGAGTTTCTGTGCAGGCTGGTGGCATAAATAGAGATGCTTGTTTATTGATCTCTTCTGCAATGGCAGCTCGGGGCAAGCTGCTGTATTCATCTATTTATTGCTGAAGTAGCTAATGCGTTTTTCTCAAGACTGGGATTCTCTTCCACCATGCACAGTACAGCTGTGTTGCTCTGCAATAAATAACTGCATAGTCCAAATGGACGAGAAAAGTTTGGGAGAGAGGAGCTACTGCTGTATGCGTTTGGCTGGAGAGCTGCAGGTGGATAATGATGATTCCCCCTTTGGTAGTAGTTTGAAAATAACTGGCTCCTGGCTACATGCTGGATTTAACAGCCGAACTGAGACAAGGAGGAAAAAGGTGTTGGCCCTTATTTTTAAGACAAAAGCCATGATGCACAGAGGAACTAAATGACTTATTTTAGCTGTGATAGTCAGCGCAAGTAGTCTATATCTGTGCCAAGGGATGAATCTCTTCAATGGCTGAGCACCGCATCCTGGTGGTGTTAAACTGCTGCTGGTATTGATATGGGGGGCAGGAGAGACCTCTAAACCCTCATCTGGTC